TATTTAAATATTTATTTATTAGATTTCTTTATTTTTTATAATGATAATTTTATTTCTAGTTTCTATGACAATAATATTCAAGATGTAGAGAAATATTAAGAATAATATTAGCTAACTTAATAAATCGATAAACTGTAACAATTTTCTTTTATCTTATTTTTCTAAAATAATAACTTTATTAGTAACTTCCTTTTCTCATTTATCACTTTTATTTGTTTGATGATTATTATTTACTTTTACTTTGAAAAGCAAAAATATTAAAGAAAAAAACTCTAGCTATTAAATGTCTGAGAAACCTCAAAAGTATCTAGATTAAAGCTAAAAGACTAGTTAGTTAAATATTACTTCGTAAAAAAATATATTATTACTTTATTTTTAATTTTAGATAGTAGATGAATCAATTTTTTACTTTTAATAAATTTTTTCAACTTTAATCAAAATTTATTGCCAATTAGATTCGACTAGGCATCTAACACAAATGATTTTAGAAGTCCAAATCAATTAAAAAAGATTACTCTATCAGAAATATACATAAAGTAAAATAATTTTTAAGTTTTTAATTCACATTTATTTTGTTGATCTTTATAAATATTAATTTTCATACTATTAAATAAATAATCAAATATATATATATATTTAAAATATGAATAGTTGGCAAAATGTTTTTACTACTACAGCACAAAATATTGCTCAATATTTATAAACCAAATAACAAAGTTAATTCGATCTTAATCTATTGTAAAAAAAGATATTATTTTATTTAAATTAACTAATTATTATTTACTTACTATAAAAATTCAAATATTAAGGTACTCCCTTATATTTTTATTCTCGAAATATTATTTGTGAGTAGGAAATATATAGTATAGTATTTCTTGAATAACAATATAAGAATCCCTCCCTTTTCTGCTTATTTTTTAAATTTTTTATTTTAATTATTTTAATACATTTAAGGGTGGTAGGTATACTTTGAAATATGAGTGTTTATATAAAATCTTAATTAGTTAACAATACATTTTTTATAAAAATAAATTAAAATAAGTGTTCAAGGTAGCTAATTATTTAATGAAGATTAATGCTTTAAAAATTATGAATAAATCAATAAATATGTTTAATTCTATAGCCTTAGCTTGATGTAAATTAATTAACTAATTAATTAATTTTTTTATTAAATATTTTTTAGGTAAAATAAAGAGAGTTAATAAATATGTTAAATTAAAGAAATTGAATAAAAGCAGAGTCCTGTAATGGAATAATTAGATCTTTATTTAGAGTAATTTATTTATTACATAATAAATTCGTCATTAATTTTAATACTTTTATTGTTTTAATTTCTGTATATTTTTATTTAAATTATATAAAATATTTAAAAAGTTTCAATATAATCTGTTTTGAGGCAGCTTAAGTTATTAAAAATATGTTAAAACAGTTCAAAAGTAATATCAAATTAAAGTAAAATAAATAATGATCAATTTTATCCAATATTTTTTTCATTTTTATTATTTTACATTTACAAAAAAAAATAATAATTAAAATTAATAAATTTGATTTTTCCTTTAGTTCATGCAATTATTTTGATTGTGAAACTGTTATGAGTACTTTAGATAAATCTGTAAAAATGTTAAAAATAGATCTATGCTAATTGTAATTTTCTTAAAATTTATCCCTTATTTTTTAACATATATGATAAATAATAAAATCTAATTAGAGGAAAAAATATATTTAAGGAAGGAGCTTAAAATATTGCAAATGCAATAGCTAAGTGCTAAAATACCACAAAATTAAATCTTTGTTTAAGGTAGAAATCATTAAATTAATTTTTTTAATAATTTTTTTTACCAAAAATTAAAATTTAAAAATAAATCTATTAGTTAAAGCTGTATAATCGATGAAGTAACTAAAATTATTGCATATAGTTTGAAAAATTGTTAAGAAATAATTTAATTAAGTCTCAATTTATCGTATACTTTTAATTTAAGCTTGCTTATAAATATTATTGGTTGCTTAAATAATAAAATAATTTTTGCATAGATAAAATAAAATTGGTATTTAAGGAGCTAAGTATATTTCAAACGCTATTAAACACTTTAGAAGAGCCATTTAATTAGATATTGATTTAAAGTGATTTACTTAAATTTTATTTAGCATTTTACTTATTTAATAACTAATTTACTTTAACTTCTTTTCTTTTCTTATTTTATTCTATTCATAAAATATTAATTTAAATATTTAATTAATAGTGATAATAATATAAAAGAAGAAGGAGCTTAATACATTGCAGATGCATTATAAAATTGCTAAAACATTACCACATTTAATCTTTCTTTAAGGTTATTTTTTAATATTTTATTAGTTTGATAATTCCTTTAGAAAAATAATTCGAATGTTCATTAATATTTTTCTTTATTTTTAGTTAATATTAAATAAAATGAATAAAGCAGTGTAAAAAATTCTGTATTAATTTAAATTTTTTAGGAATAATAAAATTGGTGCAGAGAGCATTAAAAATATTGCTAATTCATTGGAAATGTTCAAAAAGCTTTCTTAGTTGCATCTTGATTTATTGTAAGTTTTTTATAAGATGAATTATTTTAAAAATAAAAATCCTAATAATTTGATGAATAAATCTATTTTTCCTGATAACTTTTTTCAAACTTTAAGATTTTTTAATGATAAATATTTACTATTTTTATATTAAATAGCGGTAATTAAATTAATATAGATGGTACTCCTTATATTGCTAGAGCTTTATATTATTGCAATAATATTAACCATCTAAGCATAGATTTAGGGTAATTTTCATTAAAATTTATTTTTTATTTTGATTAAAGCTATTTCTTATTTATATTAGTAAATTTTTTCATATTTATTTTTTTAATTTAATTAGTTAGAATAATATTAAAGATGAAGGAGCAAATATTATTGCTAGTGGTTTGGAAAAATGTGAAAACTTGTCCTATTTAAAAATTGCTTTAAAGTAACTTTAATTATAATTTATTTATTTATTTTATGAAAATTATTTTTTTTAAATATTTGATATACATTTTTGAATGAATTTTAAGTCTTTTAAAATTAATTCATAAATTTGAAATTAATTTTATTAGGAGAAATTATATTTCAAGTGAAGGAGCTAAGAATATTTCAAATGCTTTGAAAAGATGTAATAAAATAACTGGTTTAAATATTGATTTTGGGTAATTCATTTCAAAATATTTTTTATTTTTAGATTATTAAAATTAATTTATCTCTAAATTTAAATATTTATCATAACATTATTCAATTTTTAGAAATAATTAAATCGATAGTGAAGGATTCAACAATGTCATAAACATTATATTTAAATGCTAAAAAATCACTCAATATAGTCTTAATTTTAAGTAATTTTATTTAAAATTTTTTTTGTAAAAATATGTTAAATTTTAAAAATTTTTTTTTAAATTTATTTTTAAAAATCAATAAAAAGTTTAATTTTTTAAATAATTTTTTTAGTGAAAATAAAATTGATGCGAATGTATCTTTAAATATTTAAAATAATGATGAACAATCCCATGATATTACTTAATTTAGTCTTGATTTGGAGTAAAATTTATTTATTTTTTTCTCCTATAAAACAATTTGTTTCTTAATTATTTAATTTATTGATTTCTTTTCTATTCTTTAAATATAATTTTATTTAGAAAGAATCAAGTCAGTTTTGAGTAAGCTTAGAATATTACAAATTTTCTAAAAAAATGTAAAAATCTATAGAAACTAAATCTTAATTTGTAATAAAATATTTTTGGAGATGGCTAAATTTAAATAATAGCAAATTTCTTGTAAAATTGTTTGAGTCTCACTGAATTAATTCTCAATTTTAAGTAGTTTCTTAAATTGGTTTGTTGATTATAACAATTTAGTAATAAGTTTCAAATATTTATTTTTAGGGTAAATAAAATTTCTGCTGAAGGAGTTAAGAATATTGCTAATTCTTTGACAAAATGTAAAAATATCACACTTTTAAAACTCGATTTTTAGTAATATTATTGAATTTATTGTTTAATTTTTCTAAATTAAAATGAAAATAAAATATTTTTAAGCGAAAATAAAATAATCTCTGAAGGCATATTCAGTATTACGAAGGCTTTGGAAAAGTGTCAAAAAATTAGCAAGTTAAATATAAGTTTTGGGTAATTTTAAACTAGAATTTGCATTTAAATTAAAAAAAGCTATGCAAGATTGTTTATTTTATTTTTTATAACTTTAAACAAAAAATCTATTAGTTAATATTTTTAAGAGAGTGATCTTGCTAATATTTTTGCAGATTCTTTAACAAATAGTGAAAATATAACTGAATTAAATCTTGAATTTGAGTAACTTTCTTAGTTTTCATTTATTTTTTAAATAACAAAATAAATTAATTAATTAATTAATTACTTGATTGATTGATTATTTATGATTGAAAAGCAGTGTTGGAAATAGAAAGTTTCGATATTAAAAAAATGAATAGAAAAGTAGAAACTAATTGACATTTGATTTTCGATGTTCTTTTCCATTCATTTTATTGATATAAAATTTTCTACCAACTCTGTTGAAAAGTAATTTGTATTATTAAAGATTTAATTATCGTATAAATAGTACACATTTGAAATCACGCAAAGGTAAAAATATTTACAAAGTGTTGGAAAAATGTTAAAATGTTACTCAACTATCTCTTCGATTCTTGTAATTTTATACTCAAACCTTTTTGAGAAATTTTTATAAAAAATATGATAAATATATTGCTAATTAATATTTTTGTTGTTGTTAAAATTGTTAATTATACTTTAATTTTAATTTAATTTATTTAGTTGTCTTCTAGAATACAGCTTTGGCATAGATATCAAACATTTTCGTGATAATATTCAGAATATCTGTGGTTAAATAGAAAAATTATAAAATATTACTAGACTAGAACTTGCTTTTTTGTATTTTCTTTTTTTTATTTAAATTAATTTTTTGATTTATTATATTCATAAAAAATAATACCAACTAACTTAGCAATTACATCAGTTTTCTAAACTAAGGAGGGTATAAGAAAAAATATTAAAAAATCAGATATAATTTTTTTCAATAAATATTTCATAAAATTTGTTTATGAACTTTTACATTAGTAATTTTATATTCTAAAAATTAAGATAACTTTTTTTACAAATTTTAATATAAACTAAAACATTAATTTAGAAAAAAGAAGCTTTTCTGTTGCTTTTTTTATAGATTTACCAATTTAATTTAAAAATATTTTAAATATTATTTTTTAGATATATTTAAATTGGTGATGAAGGAGTTTATTATATCTCAAGAGCTTTTGAGAAATGTTAAAACATTACTTAACTAAATCTTGATTTTCGGTAATTAAATAAAAAATCATATTATTTAATTAATTGTTTTACTTTATATTTAAAATATTTTTGCTCATTTATTTGATTTTATTAATATTTGAATAAATTAAAAATAATAAAAAGGGGAAATTAAATTAAAAATCAAGGAGCAAAAGAAATAGCAAGTCCTAAAGAAA